TTTACTCTCTCGGCAATCTGCCCCCCCCCAGTGGCACAGCGGTATGTCTGCGGACTTACAAAGCTAGAAACCGGGTTTCGATACCCGTGGTGGGCAGTGCACAGATAGCCCATTGTGTAGCTTTGTGCTTAACTACAAACAATAACAACAACTCTCTGTAATTATGGAGCAATAAGTATATGAAATATTGATAGTGTTTACTAATTATTGATAACAATAATGATTATTTTCTAGGTATGCTATAGCCATCTTGAAAATATTAACTTTGAAGAATAGTGAAATATATCAATATCAGATTTTATTCAGTAATTCAGTTTCAACCAAAAAACAATGGCCAATGTGAGATTTACAAACCAAACATCAGTGAAAGTCTGAATTCTGAGAACGCATGGTGGCTATCTTGAAAAAAATTCATTTGGGTCCAACTCTACAAAAGTGCAAAATTTGGTGCTTTTTTTGCGCAAAACCAGTAATTCCTTCAAACATTTACACCAATCTGTTGGACTATTGCTAAGGCGGGACATTTCTATTGTTTATGGTTGCTGGGTTTTTTTTTCTTACCCTTAAAACGCTCTTCAGGATGCCCAGAAGTCAATTTTTTTTCACTTTATTTGTTACTACATTTTTTTTTTCAAGAATTCTCTTTTACACTTTTCACTTATTGATCTGTATAGTATGTTTAAATAAGCGCTGCCCGATGATCATTTGATGGTTGTAATGCCTTGTTAATTACGAATTACAGCTGTTACACATTACTAATGAATGCTCGTGCAATATAGAACTTTGTATTATCTAAAAGTGGCTAACTTTCTCGGGATCATAATCCAGATTAAGGAAACGTGTATTTGGAACACATAGCGAAACGTACTATACAGGCTGAGTAATTGAAAAAGCACGTTTAATATTCAATTAACACTGATTACTTGATGTCAAACGGCTGTAAACACAAATTTATTTTTCTACTTACTGGTTTTGGTTTAGTTTTTTGAATTTCGCGAAAAGCTACGCGAGGGCTATCTGCGCTAGCCGTCCCTAATTTCGCGGCGTAAGACTAGAGGGAAGGCAGCTAGTCATCACCACCCACCGCCAACTCTTGGGCTACTCTTTTACCAACGAATAGTGGGATCGGCCGTCACGTTATAACGCCCCCACGGCTGAAAGGGCGAGCATGTTTGGTGTGACGGGGATTCGAACCCGCGATCCACAGATTGCGAGTCGAGCGCCCTAACCACCTGGCCATCTGCTTACTGAGATATCGCTTTGGTCAGTTATTCAGAATATGACGTGTGTCCGTTTGTAAAGTTTTAGCGCACGCTGTCAACCAGATGAATCAAACCTCAGATTTTAGCGTTGTAAGTCTGTAAACTTTCTGCTGAATTACTGGGGACTGTAGTGTATTCAAAAGTAACACCGGTCAAAGATTAATTTGATTTATTACAAATGTAGAGCATTATTACAATGATAGTAACAGTTACGTTTAACAAACGAGGCATGTGATGTTTGGATCAAAGGTCCGCTGTATGGGGATGTTCATTTCGGGACTTCCTGTACATACGTTAATTTATAAAGTCTCTGGATCTTTAGACGGCTTATATAAAGTAATGAAAAAAAAATTAAAGATAGTTCCAACTTTTTAAATCATTTTCGTGATTTTTTGTGTTGCGTTAGCAATTTGCCTTGACAATTTAGAAGACAAACATACAAAGATTTGTTAGTCTGTCTGGTGTCATAAATTGTTGTAAAGAACTGGCTGAACCAATTTCGATTAAGTTCGGCGCAGAAACGGAGGCAGAAACCTCAATGATTGCATTTAAACGGATATTTAATCGGACTAACGGTTAGAGTTCGGCAGACGTTTCGATGGTACGGCCTATAAGCCGACCCCAAACGAATGTGGTGTTTGCATTGGACAAATAGGTTCGTGTGGTACGGCTCAAAATAGTGGAATAGGACGGTTCACGCCCACATTATTTATAGAATTACTTTTAAAGTTTAGCACTGCCGGGTAACTTTAACACACACACATACATAAGAGGTAGAAAGAAAAAGTCACATATACATATATATATATATATAATAAGCGATTTAATAGAAACAGCTCAAAGCGAGCCGTGTTTCAGTATGGCAGCGTTAGGTTTACAAACTCACAACGCTAAAATCAAGGATTCGAGTCCTAGTGGCGGACAGAGCACAGATAGCCTATTGTGTAGCTTTGCTCTAGAATAAGCAAAACTAAAGCGAGCTTTTTGAATCACAAATTCATTAATTTTTTGTATAGAGTATACATTTTGTGTTTTTAGAGCAAAGCCACATTGAGCTATCTCTTGTGTTCACCGCGAGGAATCGAGCACCGGATTTGAGCGTTATAAATCCGAAGACATAGCGAGAGAATACATTATATGATAAATTGTATCTGTTTTTTGAAGTTTTATAAAAAAGTAAGGAAAGTCTTAACATAAGAAACTCACTTTATTTATTTCAATGATACCATTTTACAACTTACGTCGTCCTAGGAAGTACTTAAAGTACCATCTGGTTTGATACTCTGGGTTTTCTAAAACGGGTGTGCTTGGCGATCCGTAGAGCTGGAAACAAAAAATTTCAGTCAAGTTCAAAGAATTATCGATGGGGGTCAATGTGGAATAGCAATAACAACAAGAACAATAAAAAAAGCCTGGTTTCAAAAAAATATATTTGTTTGATAGAGTGACTTTTATACATCTAGCTAGGGGAGTATAGAACTTGTAAGAAAACCACAATGTTTTTTTTTTCTTCTTCACTAAAAATAGCCAACATGATGAATATATATAAACGTATAGGTCTGCTGAAATTTTATTCGATTTCTATGTCGAGACACGAAAAACATTGGACACAAAGTCCAACATGATGAATATATATAAACGTATAGGTCTGATGAAATTTTATTCGATTTCTATATTCGAGACACGAAAAACATTGGACACAAAGTCCAACATGATGCTTGACTTACTTCATCTTTTTCCACTCTTTCCCCATTTTCGACTCGAAATCTTCTAAAAAGGTCAGCGCCATCGTTCTCAACAGAAGCCAACTAAGAAAAGAAAAAGAACAGGTTACATTATTATCGAATTGAGAATAAAACTTACTTTCTCCGGTGTAAAAATATTCTTAAATTATATCCGAAAATATGGCGTGGCCCGGCATGGCCAGGTGGTTAGGGCGCTCAACTCGCAATCTGTGGGTCGCGGGTTCGAATCCCCGTCACACCAAACATGCTCGCCCTTTCAGCCGTGGGGGCG